AGAGTATGGGCTGATAAGTAACAACCTAGGGAAAGACCTGGGAGCTACTGTACTATTCTCTTGAAAGTGGCCCAGTAAGCTGCTACATCCAGTTCAACTAACAAAATCCTGTAAACCACAGAGAAGAATAAAGAAAACCAAACTGACAAACATCCTTCTTTTATTTAAGACCAAACTGCAGCTGGAATACCCAGTACAGTTCTGCTTACTACACTTCAAGAAAGATCTGAAAGCAGAAAAAGAACCAAAGAAGGGCAGTTCAAGCGACCAAAGGGTGGGTGGAAGGTGCTGCAGTATGAATACTGTACGAATATTTTGACTGGTATGAAAACATAAAAGAATTATCGAAAACTACATGGAATAATTGAAGTCCCTTCAAGTTTGAAAGTAAGCATTTTAGGACAAATAAAAGGAAATTCAACTTTGTAAAAAAAAAAAAAAAGAATCATTGTGTCTCCCAATCATTCTACTAGATCAGACTCGTAGTGATTCACCTGTTTAGAGCCTCCCAAGAGCTGGGAATACAGGTGCACACCACCACACCCAGTCTCAATTGATGTCTCTGGGCACTCCAGGCACAGGGCTGGCATGGCAGGCCTGAGGACCAAACCCCCAGCTCCTGTGCCTGTTTGCAGGTGCTTTAATCCACTGAGCTATTTGGCCAGCCCTTCCAATTTGTTAAAATAGTATACCTGTCATAACTTTGTTGTTTTTGGCAAAATTATGATATTTTCTTGAAAAGTCTTCCCTACTGCTTTGTGTTGGTTTGCTTTGATGTATAACTTACAAATAATTAAGTTTATCCAACATACTAGCAGTTCAAAATAGCATAAAAGGTGCTGAGTCATAACAATAAGACACACATGGTAGTAATATGTGATAAGCAGACTGGGAAGAACTGAACTACTACTGCTTTATTACTTTAATTCATTAGAGGTAATATGTACCTGATGCGAAGAGAACATTAATTTACTCCCAGCAACTACTATATTAACAGGTATGTGCTAGGCCAAGAGTTGACTAGGAGTGACACTGGTAGCAAATATCTCTATAATAAAGTTATAGTAAGTCATAAGATCAATTTTTTTTGTTTGTTTTTCTTTTTCTTTTCTCTTTTTTTTTTTTTTGCGGAACTGAGGATTGAACTCAGGCCCCTGTGCTGCCAGTCAAATGCATATTCCACTGAGCCATCTCCCCCGCCCACTGGATCAATTTTAATAAAGCTACTTCCTTGTAAAAGTAGTCACAACAATGACCTACTAAAAATCATGAACAAGTTGGGCATAGTGGTGCACACTTGGAAATCCAGCACTCAGGAGGCTGAGGCAAGAGGATTGCTATGAGTTCGAAGCCAACCTGGACATCATAGTGAGTTCAAGGTCAGCCCAAGCTGCACAGCTAGACTCTGTCTCAGGAAGGAAAAAAAACCACTAATGAAATGGATTCCATCAGAGAGCAATGACTCCTAAAGAATACAGCTCATGAGAACACCTAGTCCCTCTAATCCCTTAGAACTCATCTATATGGCAAATCATGTAGCAAGGGCCTGAGGAGTACAGTCTCACATACCTGTCACTGTAAGATACTTACAAATCAGGACAGGAAAGTATATCAGTTCTACAAGCTGTATAATAAATCTAACTTGGAAGTAGGGGATGGAGGAGTACATTTTGTAGAAATTCTCAAAATAATGTATGAATTTCATAAAAGCAAAGAACCTTAAAAAAAAAAACAAAATACTATGATGTAAGTCAGGCATGGTGGTGCATGACTGTAATTCCAGCACTTAGGCTGAGGCAAGGGGATATCGCGTTCTAATCCTATGTGGGCAAAGTAGACAACCCTGTCTCAAAACACATAAAGAGCTAGGGATGCAGCGCAGTGCAAATCTGGGGACCAGATTTGGTCCCCACTAATGGGAAAAGAAAAACATCTGTGAGAAATACAATGGACAAGAATCAAAAGGAAAACTAAAACCTTGAAAGATCTTACCCATTTACTGTATTTCAAAGGTCCTGTGAACCCCATAGCTTCTATTATCTTCGTGAAGGCACCAACCTTTTCCTCAACTGGCTGTGGAGAACCTTTGGTGGCTGGAAGCTATTTAGCCAAACAGGAAACCAAAATTAATTGCAAAAATTTTTCAATAGGAATGTTTCTATTCCTATATGTATTTATGTTGTTTATATGGTTACCTTTTATTCCCTAGAATTTTTACTTTTCAGTTTATTATACATCGTATCACTAAATGCAAATACATTTGGAATGGCATCTAATAGATATGTCTCAAATTTCAGAGCAAGCTATACTCACTTTAGTGACCAAGCGCTTATGAACCAATGTCTATGAAATCATATATCTGGAGTATCAGAATAAAAGTTCTATCAGAAAGAGTACTCTTGCTAGGTGTGATGGCACACACCTGTTATCCCAGTACTTTGGAAGCTGAGAGTTCAAGACCAGCCCAGGCTACAAATTCAAGGCCAGCCTGACTGCATAGTGGAACCATGCCCCAAAAAGGGGGGGGGGGGAGAAAAAGAAAAGGAAAGGAAAGAGGGCTGGCTGAACAGCTCAGTGGATTAAAGTGCCTGCAAGCAGGTGCAGGGGCCGGGTCCAATCCCCAGGCCTATTGTGCCAGCCCCACCCCCGGGGCACGCTGAAACAGCACTTAAGACTGGACATGGTGGCACATGTCTATAATCCCAGCACTTGGGAGGCTGTAAACAGGAGAATCACTAGGAGTCCTATCTAGTAGTGAAACCCTGAACACCCTGTAGATCCTTCCCCACTCCCCAACCCCGCCCCCCCAAAAAAAAAGTACTCTTAAAGGAAATTTTTCTGGATATAGTGCCACATGCCTGTAATTCCAGCTACTTGAGAGGCTAAGGTAGGAATATTATAACTTCAAGGCCAGTCTGGACAACTTAGTAAGATTGCTTAAAAAAAATAAAAAATAATAAAAAATTAAAAGCTGGGGCTGGGCAGCATGGTAGCATGTGCCCATAATGCCAGCACCTGGGAGGCTGAGGTAGGATTGTCATGAGTTCAAGGTCAGCCTGGACTATACAGAAAGACCCTATCTTAAAACAAACAAATAAAAAAAGGCTGGGAATATAAATCAGTGGGAGAACACTCTTGGATTTGATTTGTAGTATGGCAAAAACAATACAAAGAAAAACAAAACGAAACAAATCACAAAATAAAAGGATATCTCGATCCTTATTTCCCAAAGAATAATTCTTTTTTTTCCCATAATTTTATTGATACACAAATAGCAATGAGACAGTTTCAAATCAAATTGGTAGGACAGTTTCAATAATCAACACATTGCATACATTCCTCCCAGTGGCTAATTGTTGTACAAGATGAGGACAAGATATCCTATCTACAAACACCATTAGAACAAATCACTCTATTCTTTAAGAGAATGTAACTATATATCTATCCTAACCACTTTGAATACACAGATACAAAATGGACATCAATCTGTATCTCTTTTTTTTGTTAAGTTCCATTATTTGAATATTATAGGTGTGTTAACTCAGCAAAATAATCTA